TGACGGGTCACATCGGACTAAGGTCAAATTTAGTCGCTAAAAGAGGATGAGAAAAAGTGGACGAGTATCGCATGTTTGTCTATAAAGTTTCGAATAAAAAAAATGTGAGCCAAAATAAGTTAAACTATAAAAAATCATAAGAATATATGACTCGAAACTAACTTCTGTTTTCTATGATCATGATTGGGTGTAAGACCCCGGTCCATCCTGGTTCAACCCGGTCTAACGGGTGCTGGAAATGAGGCCGCTTTCTGGTCCCGGCGTTTTATTCTCCGGGCGGGTTAATCCCCTAATTCAATATACCCTGGGTTAATCCCGTCCAGCGTTTAGCCTTTCGAGACCCACTCAGGGTCGCGGTTGTTTTCGCCGCGCGCCCCAGTCGAGATGCAAAGTTAATGGTCACACGAAGCTTATTTAGGGCCAGCCAAACCAACCTAGTCTGGAGTCACTGTTAAATTTATGCATATAGATGAAAGAAAAAGGTTTTGTAGAATCGATTAGTTTCAAAGTCGTATATTCAGGGGCCTCAAATAAAGTTCGTGTGACTATCAACTTTGCATCTCGAATGGGCCGAGCGGCGAAAACAACCGCGGCTCTGAGAGAGTTCCAAAAGGCTAAGCGCTAGACGGGGCTAACCCACCCGGAGAATAAAACGCCGGGACCAGAAAGCGGCCTCATTTCCAGCACCTGGTTCGGCTCCCTCATTTACCTTTGGGCTTGGCCTCGCGACGTTCACAGACGTCAGACATTCAACCAACAATTTTGGCGGAAACACTATCCAGCAAGCTGCGCAGGGGCGCAGGGTGACAGGTGTTCGTAGCGTTGGGGCTGGGTGATCTGTGTGCCGAGTGCGATGTCGTGGGTTCGAGCCCCACTCGGCTTTGGTTTGATCTAGACACTAGCCAAAACCTTTCCCTTTACTGCAATACTGACAAGCACGGTGATTTATCTTTCCCGATATCCTCTTAATAAAGTCAAAATCGTCGCACCTTTATATTTATTTTAATGTTTTGCTGAGTTTCATGAATTTTCATTTTTTTATTTTTGGTCGTTTCTCTGGACCCATTTCAACTTGTGCAATTCTTTTCGACCGATAAAAACCCATCAAGGCTGAGCGTGCCAAATAAAGAAAGAAATTATGCAACTGAATGTAAATTTAGAAAAGCCTTCATGCAAGGATCGACTGAAAGTATAGGTCGTAGATTCCAATTATGATTGGTTAACATTTTTGCTGCAAGTTTAAGGCGTTGCCTTTCGCTTGCCCGTTTGTTTGAGATAGCTATTCCCTTCAGTCGCATTCTTGCTGGCTTCACATGAACAGGATGTTGTTTCACCGGCGATCGCAGGACGCTGCTATTACTACGTGTCAAATTGGGTTTCCATGGAGACGTCAACAAGCCCATTGCTCCAACACTACCACAAGTGTAACGTCAGTAGAATAGCAGCGTGCTGCTATCACCGGTGAAACACCACCCGTGATACCACCATACCTGAGGGAGCGCACCCGCAACCAGCATCCCCTCCCCTCAGCCGCGGCGCAGTGGCGGGCGGCCCACTCCCGGCGCTACGCACGCTCCACGCCGCGATAGCAGCGCGTCACCCCCCCTCCCTCCTTCCCCCACAATGACCGGTGACCTCACTCCCCTCGGGATTTGGACTTGCCCTACCCCGACCGTAGCGCCACGTGGTGGCTCTGGAGATCTTAAATAGACCCACTGTACGTAGTACGTACAATGTTAACCCTCGCCCGTATTGGTGTTTTTCCAGCCGCGAACGTAAAAGAGGGGGGGGGGGCGTTGGATCCCCTTGCCGTTTCGCCTCTAATCGAGCTAGAGCTTCGCGAAAAAAAACGAGCGTGCTGCCCATGACGAGAGGAAGCCGATGATACCCAACTTTAAGGTTCTAGGTCATTGGTCGACCTTCCAGGTCAGGTCAATGACCCATGAGCCGGGAAAATCGGTACCTGTTAGAACGTCGCATGGCTGCTGTTTTTTTTTTTGGGGGGGGGGGTGATCACGAATATCATATTGGTTTTGATCACAGATGATGTCTTCATGCATTAAGGCCAGGTCGGGTCAGATCAGGTCACCTTGTAAGGGTACCGCCGGGTACTCGTAATAAACGTAAACCGCCTCTGACAGCGTCGTAACATGTTATGAAGGCACCAAAACTACTTCGTAAATGTTCATATGGTTGCTAAATTCGAATTCAGCTCGCTCGAAAACCTGGTCTAGAAACATGTACCTAAAACTCGAAAAATTGAACCGAGGTCATGTCAAAGGTCAGTGACCTGACCTTCAGGTGACCTTAACACCCACCCTCATGCATGGGGGCAACATCATATCACATGTTTGAACGCTTGGGCTTGAAACCATGAAGACTGCAAACGCGCGGCTAATGCGAGCCGACATATACGTCGAATCGCGATTCCGGCCAAACATGGTCTCGAAAAGTAGGTCACAGGTCAAAGGTCATTTGGGTCAGGGTCATGAAATTTACATAGGTTTAAAATTTCTTAACGCGAGGGTATTGAAAGTTTCGTGGCGATCGGCCGCTTTTTACACGAGTTATTTGCAAAAAACCGAGGGGGCGTTGACCCCCCCCCCCCTATACTGGCGAGGACTAAGCAAGAGGGCCTATAGTTAAAGGCGACCCTTGGCTTTTCGAAAATGACAAATTCGTGTGTGCTGCAACACTGCAAACATATTTTTTTTTTCGAAAATGCAAGTGGCCAATGCTGTATGCTAGTGTGGCAACTCGGGCTCAGCAAAAAAATATCAGTTAAGATTTATGGTTTCCGCCTTTTTTCTCTATTTTGTCGAGCGTATGACATCATTAGCCATTAATACGTTAGCCGGTAGCCGTTTTAACCCGCGACCGCCTGGGTTGGGGGGAGGGGGTCAGATCCGACCCCCTCTGTTTTTCTCGAATAACTCATGAACCGCTTACGCTATCAGCTTGAAACTTGGCATACCTTCTCCTCGATTAATTTAACGTCTTCTGTATAATTGTTAAGAAAATTGTTCCAAAACTTTTATAGATATGTCGATTTTAGTGATGTAACTACATGGCGTTTTCAGTCCAAAAATGTTAAATGTTTAAAAAATCGCCAAAAATCAAGGTTTAAAGCAAATTGCAAATTAAGTACAGGAATAGACGCAACTTAACGAGTTCTTTAAAATGGCTATGTTGGATTGTCCATAAAATGCGTTTTTCACCCCTAAAAATTCAAAATACTATATTTTTTTTGGAAAACAGCTAGTAAAAACCAAAATTTTGTGAATTTCCAAAAACCGTAATATATGTTATAGAGCTCTATTAGAATCTTAGATGTCCCAAATTTCAACTTTCTATCTTGATTTTTGACCCCCCAATTGTAAAAAATATAACTCCAACATGCATAGGGCATGGTGACGTCATAAGCATTTTCGTGAATTAGAGGCACTTCTGAACATTGCATGTGAAAACAAATGACACCACTAGATTCCTGGGACAAAACTCGTCTAGAAAAGTGTATTTTTATGTCAAAAATAAAAAGTTGAAAAAATTGTTTTTTTTTTCTTAGCCCTCGTTTAGTAATGTATGGTATAAACGATTTTTTTATGCTTTCAATGCACATTATCACCAGCACAGTGACTTGGGGTCACATGTAGCCATTACCATCGGATTCGGCGTGAAAAATAAGCCATAAAACATGTGTCGCACGCCCATGTAGCAGAAAGTGAAAACCGTGACCTTTTGTGACCTGACCTGACCTTGACCCGTACTTAGTATGACCTCTATACGCACATGGTACCTTCACTAGGCCTTTGAGGTCATTTTTGGTGAGTTTCGAGCAGCAGCTATCAATTCCGCTGTCCGTAAGCCTAATCATTCAAAACCCAAGAATTTGACCTTTGACCTGATCTTGACCCGAAAGTTGACCTAAATATTAAAATCTTAAGAGTGCTTTGGGAAGGTCTCGTAGAGACCTTTCGAACGCCGCCTCGCGGGGCTCGATACGACCATTAGTTCTCGAGATCACAGGGGGGGGGTCGGATCCGACCCCCCTGCGGTGCCGGGTTAAAGGTCTCAAGTCAACCGGTGACCTCTGAGGTCAGGTCACGTGACCCAAAGCATGGGTTCAGTTTTTCATAAATAACTTCGCAAAAACGGTTGCAGAGCCGCGATTTTATCAGCATCGTGTTTGGCTCGCTCAGGCGCGTTGAATGGTAGGGGAGACCCGGGAGGTATGGGCCGGTTTTGTGAAAAGGCAATTTTCTTCCAGTGGGCAGTGGCTAGAACCGGTTTTTCACTCTTGTGTACGTGAAATTGCCTTTCGCCTGCAACGTGCCTGATATTAGGCATCTGGGATCAACTATTTTGTCTCAAGATAATTTTAAAAATTTGATACAAGATGATGTGAAAGGCCGGGGAGACTGTGGCAAAAACTGTGTAATACCTATGTAAAGTAATGTACAAACAAGAGGAACGTATCAAAGGACCAGGGGGCACACACACATGCACATATGACAAGTCGATAGGTTGCAGATCTAGGAACGTAGTATATGGTGTTTTCTGTGAGGTGTGTGATTGTGTGATATATGTAGGAGAAACGGGAGGTGTATTATACCAGAGACTTCAAAACCATTTGTCAACTATCAGATGTCAGAGGAACGATATGGACGTAGCAGCTCACTTCAACGGGGGAGGACACGATCTTTCCAACGCTAAATTTGTAGGGCTAGAAAAGGTATGGAAAGGGTGGGTCACATACCGTAGGATAAGGGAACAAAGATGGGTTGGTCTCCTCGGCACACACAAAAGGGAGGGGGGATTAAACACAAAAAGCAGGTGAAAAATTACACTCGCTGATCACCACTACTAGCTAGCACTACATGGACTGACAATTATGTTTAGGCTTCGCTCGATATCCGTGTGCGTCTGTATGTAACATGATGATTTATGTTGTTCGATTGTTATCAAATGAACACACATTAAAGCAAATTCAAAAACGACCTTTCCGAAATCACACCTCGCTCAGACTGAGGGACACGATTCGCGCGCCGTCACAGCCCCGTGCACAGAGCACCATCCCAAGCTACCGCAGTCGCTTACACAATTCGCTCGTAGAACAGCATGTAAGCTTGCGCCTTGAGCACCTTGTCCAGAGTCACCTCTGTGACGTGCGTGTCACTCACGTAAAACCACCGCCCGGCCTCCGGCTGCGGCTCCGGCTCCGTCTCGGGCTCCGGGGCGGGCTGTTTTTGATCCGTCTGTGACTCCTGTGGCGCGGCGGCGGGGTCCTCGCCCTCCCCGTCTTCCCGGCCCTCCTCTGCGGGCCTGACCGGGGACGGTCCGTCCGTGGTCTCCGGTCGGGTCTGCTCGGCGCGCTGCCTCGCCCGCTCACACGCCACGGCGAACGCGTCGGTGACGAGTGTGGTGAGTCGCGCAGGGTTGACGGTGAGCTGGTCGTGACGGCGGCGCACGCGCACGTAGGCTGTGTAGTGGCCGCTGGTCAGTCGACCGCTGTGCTCAACGACACCAAACAGCGAGTAGAGCACCCGCCGCTGGCCGGCCCGCATCTGAGGCAGGTCCTGGCTGATGGAGGAACAGAAGGGGGCCAGATCGAGCCGCTCGCCGAACTGCACGTGCCGGTTCACCTTCCGCAGGCTGAAGCTGCACACCTCGAACCGCTTCAGGTGGATGGTCAGCACCGGCGGCGGACTGTAGATGAGCAGCTGCTTGCTGGCGTTGCTGTATACTGTGCCGAGTTTCTTCTCAGCTGCTTTTTCAGCCGCCGTGAGCCGTTTATTGCGCAGCTCGGTGCAGTTGTCGCAACCGAGCTTGTTGTTGCCGGTGAGCAGCTCGGGCGCCGTGTACTGGTTAAGGCAGGTGAGCAGGCTGCACTCGCCAGCGGCCGCCTGGTAGCGCGGCGCCAGGGTGGTCAGCGCTCGACTGAGCCACTCACAGCGGCTCAGCGGCGGCGGCGGGCCGTCCGAGGGATCGGCCGCCGGTGAGGGGGTCCCCGTCCCTTCGGCCGGGGCAGACTCGGTTGGCGCGCAGGTCCCGCCGTTCGGCGCAGACTGGAGTTCGCCGCCGTCCGCCACCCCTGCCGTTGAGCTCTGGCCGTTCGCCACTGCCTCCGTCGGCACACCGCCCGGCACCTCACCGGGTGACGGCGACTGGCCCTCCCGCGGGGCCTCCTCGGCTGCCCTTCCGCAGTGACCGTTCGGAGCGCCCAGACTGTTCTCACGCGCCTCCACAGCCTCTCCGCAGTTCTCCGCCGGCACAGAGCTCTGCTTCTCCCCCACCTGGTCCGCTCCCGCCGTCTCCGGCGCACCGTTCGGGGCTTTGTCAGCACTCTCCCCGACCAGTGGCACCAGCCCGGCCGGCGCCGCGTCCGCCTCCACCGGTGACGACGGCCGGCCGTTCACCGTCAGCGGGCCCGGCTCGTCCCCACACGAGTCCGCAGCGGCCGCGGCGCCGGCGCTGTCCACAATCAGCGCGCTGAGCCGCTCCGAGAGCTCCTCCGCGGCCAGGTCGGCCGGCGGGTCGGGGCTGACCGAGGCAGGCGGCTCGTCAGCCGGCGGGTCGGGGCTGACCGAGGCGGGCGGCTCGTCAGCCGGCGGGTCCGGACTGACTGAGGCCGGCGATTCGTTCAGCTCGTCTTCCGTCGAATCCCCACTGACCGAGGCCGGCGGCGGGTCGAGCTCCGACAGCAGGCTGAAGATGATATCTTCGGCGGCGGGCAGCGAGAGGTCGAGGAAGGGCTCCATGCGGTGTGTGCAGGCCATGCAGGCCTGACACACCACCAGGCTGACCAGCTGGCCGCTGAAGATGGAGTCGATGGTCGTATGCGATACCTGGTGGCCCAGCGCCTTGGCACGCGCCTTCATGTCGTCGGGTACTTCCTTGGGGTCGGCCTTGGCCGGCAGCCCCAGGCCGAGCAGGATCTGCTTCTGGTGCCGCCGGAGATCCTCAAGCCGCGCCTGCTCCATGAGCGCTCGCAGCAGCTCGTGTGCGTCCTGCTGGTCGCAGCCCACAAACTGGGGCACCTTCAGGGCGATCTTTCTGAGCAGATGACTGGGGGAGACGGTGGAGCCGGTGCCCGTGATGTGCATCTTCTTGAGAAAGTCGCACAGCGAGGCGGTGATGGGCCCGCCCTCCGGCAGCACCAGCTCCATGGTCTCGCCGTCAGCGCTGACTGTGACCTTTCGTCCTGGGCGGCTGCTGATGTCTAGGTAGTGCGTCAGGTAGTGGCACTGGCTCAGACACTGCAGCACCGAGTTCAGGTAACACGAGTTGCCCAGGTTGATCAGACCCTTGACCTTCGGAAGTGACTCGTTATCACAGTCCGCTTGAGCCTGTTTCTCCTTAGCGGAGGCGCCCTTGGAAGACTTGGGAGGCGGAGTGTCCTCCTTGGATGGCGTGGCCCCGGGACGTAGAGTTCCCTGCTTTTTCTTGACAAACTGCACAGCTTCGTGAAGTTTCTTATTACTCTTCAGTGACACTTTCTCGTTACATGTGAAACACCAAACGCCCCAGTCGGCGGCGGCATTGACGGCCAGCGTGTGCGAGTCGGAGCGCGGCGTGTTAAAGTGCTGCGTGGCGTGCCTCGCGCAACCCTGGTGGCCGCACTGCATACACAGCCAGACGCCGTGCGGCAGCTGCGCGCCCGACGGCACCGACCGCTCCTCCCCATCCGCGGGTGCCGTGCACGGGGTCGGCCCCTTCTTGTCGCAGGCGCCGATCCGCCGGTTCGACTTCAGCTGCCGCTTAATGTCAGCCAGACTGACGCTCTTGCCCACGTGCTGGCACATGCTTATACCATTGTTGGGAAGTCCCATGTTCAATGGATCCAGTATCTCCTGTTCTGCTGGTCTGGTCGTAGGAGACGTGGTGGTTGGTAGCTCCGGTGGGAGCTTTGCTTCGGTGCCAGTTGAGTTTGTGGGTGGCCATGGAAGTGATTTTGGCTCAATGTTGGCTCTGTGACTCGGCCTTACATTGACGCTCGCAAGTCGAACGGCTGTGGCGTTGCCGCGCACCACCGCCACAGACACGCGCTGCATGAGGCGTTCAAAGTCCCGTCGGTCTCCTGTGGTCTTCACAATACGGCGGCCGAGCTCCTTCAAGAAGGAGTAACTGTCCGGGCCGAGCGCTCCGGATGTCTCTACGGCGACAGGGCGGAACAGATAGCGTCGACTTATGTCGGCATAGCGATGGCGCTTACGCCTCTCGGCGACGGTTGCAGCTGAGCTCGCACGGGCCGCGGATGCCTTGACTGACGAAGCGCTGAACGTGTCGACGCAGGTAGCGTCCCAGACGAGGCACTTCCCTTCTGCATAGGGGAAGGTCGTCATGCCGTCAGGGCGACGTCCGTCTCCGCGGTCTAAGCCGGCCGGCTCGAGAACAGACGTCATTCCAGCGGTTGATAGTCCACGCTTGATGACGCTGTTGAGTTCCGCATGGCGTGGGAACCGGCCAGCACTCATCTGGCAGCACAGGCAGTGCAGGCCTCGCTCGTCAATGTCGGCTCCACAGCGGCAGCGGTGAGGAGCACATATATCTGCTCCCACCCGCAGGGCGACGGCCGTCCGCAGGGTGTCAGGGTCGAGCAGCGTGCCCACGCTGGCGGCTGGGAAGGCGTTCAGCCAGGCACCAGAGTGTGGTTGTGCGGCAGCTCGGAGTCGGGCTCGGTCAACATCGGTTTTGCTGTCTTCCAGCAGCCGTTCACTGATTCTTGCTGTCTCAGCTCGATCCCATTCTCTTTGGTAGCGCCGCCTGTGCGCTTCCGGTGGAGGCAAGCCTGTGCGACGCTCCCACTCTGAGATCAAGCACCTCGTTAGCTCACTGACGCGATTAGCGGCGGAGCCGTTAATGGATGCGATCGTGTCAGCGGATGCTACTTGAGATGCGAGGTGAGCAGGAAGGGCAACGTCTGTTACTCTCCTTACGCCTAGCCCACCGAGGCTGATTGGCAATGTCGCTTGTCGCCATGAAATGTCACGCAGTTGGACGTTTGTGATCACTTCCATGCCACGGCGAACTGCTTCGTCAATCCTGTTGAGCAGGGCGGGGTGGCGGTAGGCTGGAGAGCTTCGAAGAAGGTACAACAGGCGAGGAAGGGACACGTAGTTCTTCAGTAGGAAGAACGCCTGATGTGCCTCGTCCAGAGCCTGAAGGCGCTTGATAAGCTTCTCTACCAGGAGCTGGCCTTGTAGAAGCGCACGTCTTGTTTGAGCGTCATGTACAGGCGCACCAAGCAGCTCTAACTCATCCACGGGGACTTCCCGGATGTCGGGAAGAACACTTTGCAGCATGTGCAGGGCGCTGAGCTTGGTATCGTCGGTGAAGCCTCCCAGGAAGGTGACTTCACACTTTCCTGCGTTTATGGCGAGCCCCACTTCGCTCATTTCTGCCTTCACTTGTTTGATACTGGAGATGACGTCAGATGGTGGGCCAGCCAGCGTTCCATCATCCAGGTACCAGGTGTTTATTTCTGTGTCTGGAGCCCTGGTGGCAGAATCCACTGTCAGAGAGAACAGCAGGGAGCTCAACGGATCGCCTTGCTGGACTCCTGTCTGAGAAAGGATTTTACTGTCGCCGATGAAAAGTGGCGCGGCGTTGTTGTAGCCCTGCCATACAAACGGGTATATCTCTGGCGCACGAGTTTTCACAGCTTCCAGCATCGCATCTCTGCGCACGGTGTTGAAGGCATTGGAGATGTCCAGCTTCACGATAACTCTGCTGTTTTCGGACGCTTCGCATTCGTCGATGTATGCTCTGGTGGCGTGTACTGCCGCCTCGCAGCCGTTCCTCGTGGCCACACCAAGCTGTACTGGTCGCAGCTGAGCTCCGATGGCCGCCGAGACGGCCGTGGCGGCGACCTTGCCTGCGATTCGGCGATACACACTGCCGACAGCGATGGGACGCAGGCCGCCGTCCTTCTTTCGAAGAGCAATCAGCGACGCGCCAAAGAAAGCTGGTGTTGCGCATTCCGGAAGACGGCCGCTGAGCGCCAAGTTCGTGAGCGCTGTCAGAGCTGTGAGTAGGCGAGCTCCAGCCTCGGCGGTGTGTTTAGTGAGGAGGGAGCGCAGGTGGGCGGGGCGAATCCCATCCAAACCTGCACTGGAGCTCGGCGGAAAGGAGTTGATCGCCTTCAAAACGTCGACCTCGGAAGCCACTAACGGCACGTGGATGTCGTCAGGTGGCGGAACGTTTCGCAGGTCAGTGGGCGGTTCTGGGTGCTTTTCTTGCATCCTTTTGATGACTTCTTCTGTTGGAGATGCGAAGGAGTCATCTGAGGTCAGAGCTCGTAGCGCTCCCCGGGTATCGCCGTCCGTCAGTTTTGAGGCCACGCGTCGTGACATCGCTGTCATCTCGCCCACCGGGCGATGTGCATGTGAGCGTTTGGATGGTTTGGAAGGACGGACCTTGTTGGTGTCACTGTTCTGTGATAGGTTTAGGCGCACTTGTGTGGCCAAAGAGGTCTGTTCTGCTGTTCGCGCTTCTCTGTTGATACTGAGCGTAGAGTATCCAAAGCACGTGAGCCTGCGCCACGCTTCCTCAGTGCCCTGTTCGACAGCGTCGTTGATAAGGTGAGCAAGCTCGTCTGCTACCGCGATACGCGCTCCTTTTGGGATGTGCGGTAGAACCCGACTGTTTTGCTTCAAAGTAGCGATTTCTGTAGCAATGTCGCATAATTGTGTGAGCTTCGGTACTGAATTCGGACAGTTGTCTCCGAATCGACAGGTGGCACACCGTCTTCCCAGTTTCACGCAGCGGCAGGTTCTACACGGGTTAGATACGCACTTGCAACAGCGAGGTGTGCTTCCACCCATTGTTGCGCGTCCATCCTCTGGTGAGATAAGTGTTTCGTCGCTCATAACGCTAATAGCAGTGCAGGCAGAAAGTCAGATTCATTTTATCGAATGTTTTCATGCATAGGTGTAGCAACGTATCTCTTTGGTGAAGGATACCTTTCACCAAAGTTTCAGATTGGTGAAGGATCCTTCACCAATCTTGGACAATGCAAGGGAGGGTCTTCACCTACCTATGCTTAGAACTACTGGATTCGACGGTTGATCAAATGTCTGTTTTCTAACCCGCGCCCGGCTGGGGGTCCTGGATTTCCACGCCCTGCTGAGGGGGTGTGTGTTTGAACTTTGAACCCCCCCTTCTAACTCGGCTCCTGGGCCACGTAGCGATACGCAGAAGGCGGCGTTCGAAAGAGCGCCAAAAATAATGACGAAATCACTTCGGTCACTTTTTTGGTCAGGTCAAAGGTCAGGTCACCAGAGGTCATTGAAGGCAAAATTTCGCCGATTTCCAGGTCGAATGTCGACAATTTCCAAGAAGCCAACGCAAAGCTCGGGAACCAATAGAGCTACAGCGCCACGGAAAAGCGCATTCGATAGCCCTATTAACGCCCTTTCTGAGTAATTCTCTCAGATTTGACCTAACGTCAACGGGTTTGCCTGCAGGGGGCAAAAACTGCCAAAATAGACGATTTTTCGGGAACAGTTTTTCTGCAATAACTTTTGACTCAAGCCTTGCACGAGCTTTCTTTTACCCACATCGTGTTCCTCTTGTCAAGACGCATCGAATGAACTATAATTTGACATTGAAAGTTCAACTTAAAAATTTGACCTCTGGTCAAGGTCATGATTTGACCGGACATTGTCATCTTGCATATTAGTGGATCTGTATCGTCGAGCTGAACATATATAAGGCGTTTTCATCGCTCTAGCATGCCTCTTTCAAAAGTTAGTCGCAAAAAACTGTTAGATACCATTCGTGACCTGAGATGACCTTAGGGGCATAAACAGGGGTCACGGGTGCCGTTTTCATGTTCAGTGTGTCAAAGTTACTTGTAATATAGTGTTTGAGAGTGTTTAGAATGACTTTCGTCCGAAAAAGACGGTTTTGAATTATCTCCCATTGACTTACATATAATACCTAGAGAGGTCGCAAAATTGACCCGACCTTAGGTCACCGATATGAAAATTCTGAATTTTGTACATACTGTTGCACTTATCAATTGCTGAAAGCTTCAAAGCGATCCGTCACTTGGTGTAGCTATGGCATACATTGAAACATTTTATGATGTGTTTATGAGGTGAGGTCACATGTAGCGACCCGGTGACCTGACCTTTAAGGACCCTGGTCTGAAATTTTCACAAAATGTATAAAATTGATAGATGATAAGGTGCCGCCGTTTTTCAGATATCCACGAAAAACCGCAGGGGGGGGGGGGTGTTCAAAAACCTCCCCCCCCCTCCCAGCAGGGCGCGGGTTAACACACTTTGACCATTTGCCCCAGTAGTCAAAATTCCTTAGCCGAGGCCCTGATTTACATCTTGCTGTCATGGCAAGATGCACAATTCAATTTTAGGCAGGCATTGAAAATTTGACTTTAACCCTCGCCCTGGCAGGGGGGGGGTCGATGCGACCCCCCCTAAGGTTTTTCGAAGATAGCGTAAAAACGGCGGCGCGCAGCGCCGCCAAATTTGGCACAGCCTATGGGGCAACCTTTTTACATATGACCTGAAAATTTCAGGTCCGGGTGACCTTGGGTCAGGTCACCAGGTCAGAAAAACCGGTACAAGGTCATGGTCAAATTTCAACTTTCTTTTTGCACCTGTACAACTCACAGTTTTCGACTGATTTCCTTCAAACTTTCAGGATGTGCTAAGTTCACCGAGTTGTATAACATATAGTTCGGGTTTTTTGAGGTCACTGACCTGAGGTCAGTTAGAGGTCATTGCGTCGTAATGTTAAGCCTATGGGAAAATACTAAATTCGGAAAATACTGGAGATATCCGCTTCGTTCTATCACTTTTGTGCTTTGAAACCACAGTACTTAACAGCAGGTCACTTGGTGCTTCTTTGTTTGGTGTACTTGTCCATGGGTCAGGTCAAATGAGGTCAACTGAGGTCAAATCACATTTTTTCCAATAACTTGGCACATAATGACGCTAGAGCTTAAAAAATGGTGTCATTGTGTTCCTGGTGATCAGCCGAATCGAATGATATGCGATATGATGCAATTTGGTTAATTTGAACTTAATTAGTTAATTAAAGTTTACTTAAAAATTAAGAAAAACTTTAAGTACACTTAAGCAAGCTAAAAAGTATATATTTCGACGCGCCTTGACGTGCTGAGTTCACTGGTGCCTTTCTTTTTGCTCTATCTTAATTAGATCAAAATTTATAAGCGAAAAACTTTTGACCTGTTTTTAGCGAAATTTTTACATTTATACCCCCCAAAACCCCCCTAAATATTGACCTAGAACAACCAAATTTGCACAGGAGCGAGAACTCCATGGGGCCCACCTACCTATCAAATTTGGTGTTTCTAGGTGCCATAGGAGCCAATCGCGAGGGGGGGGGGGTCGCATCGACCCCCCCCTGCCAGGCCGTGTTATGAAAAAGGCCCTGCCAGGGCGAGGGTTAATGGGATGATAAGGGCGTAAAATATCTGCGAAAAACAAGGGGTTGGCGAAATTCGCCCCCCCCCCCCCGCTCGCAATGTGCGTGTTGGTTGGCACGGTCCTGTCCCTTTTCATAAGGTTCAGGTGGCATCCTTCACCAATATTTTTGCTTTGGACCTCTATGCAAAACAGTCACTTTCATTAGACATAATTACAGACGTGCCGCTTACTTTTGAGTCTATTAAATCGGACATCCGGCGAAAGGTCTTTAGCCACTGGCAGGCACAGTGGCAGGCGGACACATCAACGACACAGCTGCACACATAGGCGTAGGAACAGGGGGGGCCGGGGGGGCCATGGCCCCCCCACTTTCGGAGGTGGGGGGGCCAGCAATGTTAACTGGCCCCCCCACTTTTTGCTGACTTAAGTGTCTGTCTGTACCTAACCTACCACCTGGTAACTTGATAACTATTCAGCTTGCCCTTTAATGAGGATTCCTTTTTGTTTTTACAGCGTTATTGACCGCAATTTCCTTCACTCAATGAAGGAAACCATATCAGAGACAAGACTGTGAGTCCTGGTGACAGCATTTTGTTGAATACGAGGCGCGGGACAGCGAGCACTAAAAAGGTATAGGCAATACTAAGACAATACTAGCACGGTGCAGGAGAATGCGTATACAAACGACCAACGCTTGACCTTATCTGCTTGGGGTCGGCATAGTTCGTCAAAGGCGTACTAGCTGGGGGCCAGGGTGACCGTGCCTCAGCCTCGGTTCAAACAGGCTGGGGGCCAGCAATGTCTGTTTCTGTCCCTCCCCCTTCCACTTTCAGTGCAGTGGCGGTCGCAGAGGGGGATCAGGGTCATGCCCTTCCCCCCTCCAAAGGCTAATCAGGGGGCCGTCATATCATTTGGCCCCCCCCAAACAACCAATGGGCTCCCATGGGCGTATGGGGCTCTGGCCCTTATTCGATTGTCACGAGACTCAAGAATCCCACGCTAGCTATTAACAGCTCCCAAACCAGTCTTTGAGGGTCCTACACTGATCTCGGAGGGCCCTTCAGTGGCGGTCAAGCGCCCACATTGACCGCTGAGAAC